GCTCACTCAAGGAAGTATATAGTCCGGAATGCCGTTCTTCCAGCCTGTCCCTGGGATAGCACTGTAGGCAGGCCACACCCCCGGGGAAACTCCCCCCGGGCAGACCGGCCGCTCAGAACCCAGTCATGTGATCCATCATGGGAACCACCACTCACAACTGGAGTCCAGCCAAGTTGACACATCTTCAACTCTCACACTGACCCTTTTTAAATAATGCTGGATTTAATGACTTTTTTACTCTGAATAATTGAAAAGAATCTAATAAAAATGTATTATTTATTTGTCATGACTCAAAAGGTGTTTTGGTGGAGTGGATGAGAAATGAACCTACTTATTTGTATTTTCTCTTGGATCCTCTTTCCCATATCATATTATCGTTCTTTAGAGCATATGTATTACTTTATAATAGTTTACTCTTCTAAGAAGTTAATAAAGTATTCAAAACTTATTTCCTTACCCAGAATTTTTCTGTTTACTGGACCTGAAACTTAGATTACTCTATACTGAGCCATCAGGAAATTGTTCTTGTTGTTAGTTGCTGTCTAATTGGCTCCAACTTGTGGTCACATTATGTACAACAGAAGGAAGTGTTGCCCAGTCCTGTGCTATCTTCATGGTTATTGGTATGTTTGAGGTCATTGTTGTGACTGTTGTGTCAATCCATATGAGTTAGGGTTGGCTCTGTGCTTTACCAAACATGATATTGACTCCATTCCAAACATGAGGGAGTTCTGGTGATGTAGTGCCTAAAGCATTTGACCGCTAACCAGAAGGCTGGTGGTTCAAACCAACCAGCCACTCCTCAGAAGTAAGATTGGGCAATCTGCTTCACTAGTGATACTGCCTAAGAAACTAAAGGAGAGGTCGCTCTGAGTCAGATCAGACTTAATGGCAGTAAGTAAATGTGAATGAGTGAACCAAACATGTTGTTTTCTAGGTACTGGTCTTTCCTGATCACAGTTCCAAAATAAGTGAGTCATGGTCTTGCTATCCTAGATTCTAAAGAATGGTCTAGTTATATTTATTTATTTATTTATTTATTTATTTTGTGATTTAGGTGAAGATTTACAGAGCAAATTCACTTTCCATACAGCAATTCACATATACTTTGTCTCATGTCATTGACCACAGTTTACCACAATGCAACAGCTCCCCTCCCACTTCCTCCCCATAGTTACCTCTTCCCAGTGTCCATC